TAATAATAATAATAATAATAATAATAATAATAATAATAATAATAATACACAAAAATGACAGTATACACAGCAAACGAGATATCCATGCTGGGTTTCGTATCACAAATCATTAGTCGAACACTTCCCAAGTGTTTAGGATTGCGTGAAATATCGGCGGATTATGCAAGCAGATCCCAGTAAGATGGCCTTCTGCAGCTGACCAATGGTGATCTTGTCAGCACCAATTGCTTTTAAGTGCTTGCTTAGGTCTTTAGGCACACCACCCAGTGTGCCGAGTACCACTGGAACCACCTGCACTGGTTTATGCCAGAGTCTCTGCAGTTCGATTTTCAAGTCCTGATATCTGGTGACTTTTTCAAGTTGTTTCTTGTTGATTCTGCTGTCATTATTATGTTATTATTATTATTGTTGTTGTTGTTGGGCTTAGTGATGGAAATAGGCAATCTGCCTAAGACCACCCAAGGCCTCCCCGACACACTGAAATACTTCAAGGTCCCCACAATTGCTCTGCCCTCCCCAATCTGTCACACTGGGTCACTTACCTTGTGAAGATCTAGCAAGCTTCCAGCCATATGCGCCACTCTGCAGTTCCACTTGGGCCTCTGCGGGCCTCGCCCGGCAGGTTGCCAGCTGAAATTGAGCTTCTGAGGGGAGAATCCGGCCCTCTGAAGCTCCATTCCGCCCTTCGTAGGCCTCTCCCAGCAGGTTGCCAGCCGAAATGGAGCTTCTGAGGGGCAAATCCGGCCCTCTGAGGCTCCATTCGACCCTCTGTTGGCCTCCCCCCGGCGAGGCCCACGGAGGGCCGAATGGAACTGCAGAGGGGCGCACGCAGCTGGAAAGGAGACTGTTTGCTAGATCTTCACAAGGTAAGTGACCCAGCACATCGGGCTGGGGAGGAGAGAGCAATTATGTGGACCATGCAGTATTTCAGTGGGTTGGGGAGGCCTTGGGTGGTCTTAGGGAGGTGGCCTGTTCCATCACTAGCCCCTCCCCACGGCCTTCCCCATCCTGAAATACCTCATGTGCACTTAACAAGCCTCGCATTCTATTAGCAAATGCATAAATGAAAGGAGGGAGTGATCATGATCAAGGTACAAGATTCACTCCCACAAATCCTCAGGTCATTACATTCATACCTGGAGGACCGTAAACATATGCACTATCCTTAGTATTGCTATTTTTTGTAACTGACAAACTGAAATTCTACCCATTCCTATTGTGTCCTAATCCTTTTTAAGATCTTTGGTTATTATTACCATAATTAACATCACTAAGAAGGATGCCAATAGAAATGAATCTACCATGGATGCTTGATTTGTCTTACTTTAGTTATTTAAAAAATTATTCCATTTATATTACACTCCCCAAGAGTCATGATTCTATTGTGGTGGTAAATAGAATAAAGAAATCTGTTATTTTGAAATATGCTTTATTTTTTTAAAAAAAACACAAGCGGCCTGGTTTATACATAGTGTTAGTCCATAATAAATTACAAACCCAAAGATATGATAGTTTAGCCCAGGGTTCTTCAAAGCAGCTTTAAGACTTGTGGATTTCAACTTCCATAATTCTTCCTCCAGTGATGTTAGCTCAGGAATTCTGGGAGTTGAAGTCCACAAGTCTTAAACTTGCCAAGTTGGAAGGCCCTTGGTTTAGCCTGTATAGATGCATAAAAGCACAACTCCTATCAATCCTGGCTTATTATGCAAAGTATCATGCTTACAAGTCTCACTCTATACGCCTTTGTTTTTCGTAACTCCAACCTTTGTCTCTCACCTTTTTCCTCATTCGGAAGAAAGCCGTGATGGAGCTCATGAGCATCATTTTCACTATAAGAATGGTTGCATATCTCAAAAATGCCACAGTGATTTCATTATCCAATAAATGCATCTTGGCCAGTTTCCACCAAAGACCTGAAATACAAAGTGAAAGGAAGAAAAGCATCAAGTACAACACTCAAGATATGATACAGGTAGTCCTTGAATTATGACCTAATATGTGTACATCTAAGGACATAAACTGTGTTAGTCTGGAGGTTTACAAGAAGAGATTGGACAACCACTGGGTCAGAAATGATACAGGCTGTCCTCAACTTACAACCATAACTGAGCCCAAAATTTCTGTGGCTAAGTGATACATTTGTGACGTGAGTTTTGCCCCAGTTTACGGCTCTTTTTTGCCACGGCTGTTAAGTGAATCACTGCAGTTGTTAAGTTGTAAATTGAATTTAGCTTCATAAATTGACTGTCAACTCAAAAATATTTCTCTTGTCTTTTAGCATTGTCAGCAGAAAGGGAGTGGGGGGAGTAATGCATACCTTAGATAATTGCTAGGTGACCGAAGTTTCTGGCATGCAAGATTATTACTGGAGAGCATGATTGATGACTCTTGGCTATGGATGTGTCCCATTGGAGAATATACATCCAGGGGGTGGGGGGAGACCAGGGTCAAGGGTCAGATGAATGATGTGTCTTAGTGTCAGCTGGCTGGCTCCGACGTGTTCACTCATAATAAATGATTTTTCTAAAAAAACTCTGAGAGATGCAACTAGACTCATGATTTGAATGGGGGTGGATTGTCGGAGCCTTGACTTTGTTTGCCAGAAGGTTGTATAAGGGATCACATTGCCCTGGGACATTGCAACTGTTGTAAATAGGAGCCAGTGGCCAAACATCTGGATTTTGATATGACCGCTGCAACGGTTGTGTGAAAAAATGGACATGTAACTTTTTTCCGTGATATTGCAACTTTGAACAGTCACTAAAAGAACTGTTATAAGTCGAGGACTTCCTGTATAAGGTTTCCTGCTTGGGGGTTGGACTAAAACAGTGGTCGCCAACCAGTGGGCCAGGGACCACTGGTAGTCCGCAATAAAATTTTGATGGTTCGCAGAGAAATGTCCCCCCCAAAAGCACTTAATCCAGGCTGCGCAGGAACACAAGGCTTACGTTGCTTGCATTGCAAACAACACAAGGAAGTGAGGGGAGGGGGGAAAGGGTGGAGGGGGGAACTTGCCCCACGTGCCCCACACGCCTGGCCTGGCCACCGGGCTGCTTCTTTCCACTTCTTTCTTTCTTCTGCTTTTGGCTGCACGCAAGGAAAGCAACAAAAGTCTTTCTTTCTCTCCCCCAAACTCAGCCAGAAACGAGTCTTTGGGACCCTGCAAGGCATCCTGCTCCAAGAGGCTGCGCCGGCACGACAAGTCTCATTTCTGACAGAGTGAGAAAAACTTCTGCAGCTTCTGCTGCTTTCCTTGCATACTGTCAAAAGTCTCTCTCTCTCTCTCTCCCACTGAGAACAGAGCTGGAGCTGGTACCCTGCGATCCCAAGTAACGAATGATTGGAAAACAGGGTGGAGATTTCCTACAGATCTTTTGGGGGATTTTCCCAGGGTCTCTGGTCCACGGGATTTAAAATTCTGAGTTTGGTGGTCCCTGAGGTCCAAAAGGTTGGCGGCCCCTGGACTAGAAGACCTCCAAGGTCCCTGTTATTCTGTTACCATATAACCAGGCCTGATTTTAACTTTTATGATCATTAAGCAAACATGGTGGTTAAGCACTGTTCACTGTTAGGGTGATTTTGCTGGAAAAAGGAAGAAAACCCCAGTTTCTGGCAAAAACATCCAAAATTGTGGTTGTGTGACTGCAGGATGGTGCAAATATAGCTATAAAAGCAAGTGATTGTAAGACTGAGGATTATCTGCATCGCTACTTCTGCACCCTGGTGGATATAAGGGAACTTATCTTGGATTACTAGCCAGAACCGGAAAAGGTACCTACAAACAGGTTTTTTTATACGCACAGGGGAAAAAAAACAGAAAATAATTGAACATTCATACACCAATCCTGTGAGTTTTGCTTATTTAAAATTAAATGACATCTAATTTAGCTTTGTCCTGGCCCAATAACGTTTTGATCCTCATCTCACTTAAGCCAAACCCAAGTTAAACATAACGATTGAGCAAGAGAGGTGAACCAGATACCATGCAGCAAGAACAACCGTTCCAAAACCCAAGTACATTTGTGATGGAATGTGGCGGACTCCGAGGAGGGAGGGGGTGCATGCCAGAGGAGTAAGAGGCTGCTCAGCCCAGATATGATCTGCGAGAGAAAGAGAGCGAAGGCAGCCCCTCCCTAATAGTACACAGATTATACGTTGTAAAAAGGGAGTTCGTGCAGATGCAAACAGAACAGTGAGCAACAAAAGATGATTAGAGGGCTGGAGGCTAAAACGTATGAAGAACGGTTGCAGGAATAGGGCATGTCTAGCTTAATGAAAAAGAACCGTTGGAAGAAATATTCTTCTGGGTTCAGTTCCAAGTGGGGAAAAAAGACACTGGAAACATGGAGGCTGTTAGGAAAGATGATTTATTAATGGACAGGATCACATGCCTTGGAGCTCCTGGAGCGAAAAAGAGCAGAGATGCTGAGAGTGCCTGGGTTTTATGCCTTCTGTTGAGATTTGAATTTGAGCTTGTATTCTGATTGGTTGTCAGACTCCCATGGAGGCCGTGCAGGGGCAACTCTGTAGGCTGTCCTGAGTCCCAGGCTTGGTTGAGCCTTGCTGGGTGTTGATGTAATGAAAAGACATTGGGCAATTCCTATTATGGTTCTACCTGGAGTAGATCTTTGTTATGTAGAATAAACTTAATGGCCCATTGAACAAAGGTTGGGCGGGGGGGCTGAGTTTCTGCCTTTCTGAGTTTCTACTTCTCTTAGGGGAAATATTCCGCCTTTTTAGTATATCTTAAAATAATTTTGTTTTTCTAGGAGAGGGTGGGTTTTAACTTCCAACAGAAGGACTAAAAGTGACATGATAACAGCGTTCCAATGTTTGAGGCCTGCCACAAAGAAGCGGCGGAGGGGTCAACCTATTCTCCAGTCCAAAGCACATGAGGGCAGGACAAGAAACAATGGATGGAAACTAATCAAGAAGAGAAGCAACCATGAAGAAAAAGACACTTCCAAACAGTGAGGACAATTAACCAGTGGAACAGCTTCCCTTCAGAAGTTGTAGGCACTCCATCACTGGAGGTTTTTAAGAAGAGACTGGACAACCACTTGTCTGGAATGGTATACAGTCTCCTGCCTGAGCAGGAGGTTGGGCTAGAAGACCTCCAAGGTCCCTTCCAATTCGGTTATTCAGTGCTTATTCTGGCAAAATTCTGTCTACAGACACAAAACTTTAAAAAGAACTCAGCTTGGAAGAATCACCGCACATCACTCTCGGTTTGGGGTCTTTCTCCCAAGAGCTCAAAATATGATCAGGATGCGTTTATAGGCAGAGGGAAAGATTGCCCCCTAAGTCATCCCACCAGTTTGCATGACTGAGGCCTGATTCAAACATCGGCACTCTGTCACTCAGCCCCTGAATCCCAACACCGTACAAAATGCAGTTTTTTGCACACGCTGATCAACATTAAGCGGCATGACTAAATGAATGGAGAGACCGCTCAACCCTGAACATAGAGATGCAAACAAACAAAACATTTGCAGCAATTATTTGTGCTGAATCAAAAGGATGTACAACCTCTTTGCATGCTATTATTTAACAAATCGATTTCCATAGCAAAATATTTTTCCTTTCTTTTCTTTTCTTTCTTACGCCTCTCATCTCCTACTCTGGTAACTTTTTGAGTTGATTCTAGTCAGTAAGAAACATCCTTCATTTTGGTCAGGCAAGCTTAAAAGCATCCATTTTCATTTTTTTTTCCCAGAGGAGGAAGCATCTCCCACTCATCCCCCCCATTCCATTTCTGGAGTTCACAGAGGGAAGCAAATTCACCTCTAAACGCAACAGTCAAGATTGCATTCCGGAGTTCTTGCTCAATGGATTAAATCCATGGACTTGTATCCTATGCTGGCCAAGTTTTAACTGCAATTGCATCTACAGGCAGACAAGAGACACTGTAGGAGAACAATGCTGCGAAATATTGCTTGCTCTACAGACTGACCCATTCTCAATATGTATTTTCCTGTTTGCTAAAGGTCAAACCATTATAAAGAATGCTGCAACGGAGCAAAGCTTACGTTTTCCTCTCCTCTAGCATGTCCTTGTGGAGGTAGGGGGAAAGAGAGACTAAATACAGTTATTCCTCGATTTACTTACAACCACTTTTGTTTAACCACTGTTCAAAGTTAAAACAGCATCGGGAAAAAAATAACTTCTGTAGCACTTTATAAAGCCTTGGCTTAAGACCACACCTGCATCCAATTTTTGTCACCACATTAACAAAAAAGATGTTGAGACTTTGGGAGAAGCACAAAGAAGAGCAACTGAGACGATTATAGGCCTGGAGGCTAAAACATATGAAGGATTTGACCAGGATTTGACCAGTCTAGAAAAAAAAGAAGGACTAGGGATGACGCGATAGCAGTTTTCCAGCATTTGAGAGGCTGCCACAAAGAAGGAGCCAACCTATTCGCCAAAGCACCAGAGCACAGGACAAGAAACAATGGATGGAAACTAACCAAGGAGAGAAGCGTGGAATTGAGATGAAACTTCCTAACAGTGAGCACAATTAACCAGCTTGGCCTTCAGAGGTTGTGGGTGCTTCGCCACTGGAGGTTTTTAAGGAGACTGGGCAGTCTCTTATCTGAAATGATATAGGATCTCCTACTTGAACAGGGGGATGGACTAGAAGACCTCCAAAGTCCCTTCCAGCTCTATTCTGATTTTTTACAACCGTTGCAACGTCCCTATGGTCACATGATCAAATTTTGGATGGTTCCCAACTAGCACGTGGTCCTGGATAAGCTAGGCCTAACTTTACACCTTTTCTCAATTGCTGCCGCAACCATGTGAAGAGGTTTGGTTGAAAAAGGAAAGGTGTGCCACGGGGATCCATCATGGCATTAAGAAGCCAAAGATTCCACTGGCCACGAAATCTGAGTCAGCAATTCCTGGAAAGAATCACCGTTAGAATCCAACTCAAGGTAATGAGACAGCTTTAAGACTTGTGGACTTCAACTCCCAGAATTCCTCCTCCAGTCATGTTAGCTCAGGAATTCTGGGAGTTGAAGTCCACGAGTCTTAAACTTGCCAAGTTTGGAGACCCTTGGCCTAAGGTGCTAAAACTACAGTAAGTTCTAGTCCGACTTTAGGCGTGAAAGCCACCTGGGTAACTTTGGGCCAGTCTCTCTCAGCCCAACTTGCGTCAGAGTTGTGAGGAAAATAGGTGTGGAAGAATGTTCACCACAGGTAGTCCTCGACTACAATTGAGCCCAAAATTTCTCTTGCTAAGCGAGATATTTGTGAAGTGAATTTGGGCCATTTTACAAATATTCTGGCCATGGTTATTAAGTGAATCGCTGAATTGTTAAGTTAGTAACATGGTTGTTAAGCAAACTCCGGTGACTTTGCTTGTCAGAAGGTCGCAAAAGTCCCAGGGACACTGCAACTGCTCTATGAACTAGTTGCCAGGTGTTCAAATTTTGATCAGGTGACCATGGAGATGCTGCAAGGGTCATCAGTGTAAAAAATGGTCAAGTCACTTTTTTTCGGTGCCATTGCCACTTCAAATGGTCAATAAATGAATGTTTATTGATTGAGGACTACCTGTATTTATAAAAATACAGGTGGAAAGAAATCAAATAAAAAAATAAGTACTGTATTTATTTTCTGGATTTATACTCCTCTGGTATTTAAAACCAATCTCTTCCATTGATCTCAGTCTGTCCTGAAACTTTAGAGCAAGGGTCTTCAAACTTGGCAAGTTTAACCCGTGGACTTCAACTCCCAGAATTCCTGAGCTAACGTGACTGGAGGAAAAATTCTGGGAGTTGAAGTCCACAAGTCTCAAAGCTGTCAAATTTGAAGACCCCTGCTTTAGATTATGACCTGAATTTAAAGACTTAACACTGAGCTAACCCCAACGTTTCCAAACAGAAAGCTACTATTCCACTTTTTGGCTGGAAAATTATCTTGCACAAAAGCCACTTTGTGATTTCTTCAGCTTCCTCCGGCAATGTGAAGCCAAGTCCCGTGGCCTGTAATCATTTTCTCCTCCTCAAACAACTTAAATTCTTTTTACTTCATCCTCACACTATTCCTGGCTGCAACTGAATTCCCACAACTGACACAATCTGCATCTGAGGTTGCATCTTGCGGTGGATCTAGCTTTGTGCCAGAGGTTAACTAACCTCTTGTGCAAATATGAACTCCCACTGCCTTGACCCCCCCCCCCCCAATCCGTATCTACACTCAAGGACAGAGCAATTGTGAACCACCAGTTAAGGCTGAACCAGTTTTACAAGTGGGTGAGAACTCAACCTCTTTCCACCCGCACTAAGTGAAATCTTACCTTTGGCTTTAAATCAAAGTATGTTGATTGCTTAATCTCTATATAAATGCCATCTGCATTTTGCAATCATACCAGATTTACTGTCATGTAATTAAATTTGAGTTGCACTCTGAACCAAGAACCAAGTTGTGCATTCCTCCAATGAGATGAATTTTAGGATGCAAACCCTTAGGGCTTTCTGCACAGCCCTTCTGTTCCCCAAATGGAAGAGAGGCAGCAAATCAAGGGATTCAGGCTGTGAAATAGAATCCTGGAGTCTTGAGTGCTCTCTCAGCTTGGCTGCTTGCATGCAGATGCTTCATTCTCCTACTAGATAACCCTCGACTTACGGTTCATTTAGTGACCGTTCAAAATTACAATGGTACTGAAATATGTGACTTACGGCCATTTTTCAGTTATGACCTTTGCAGCCTCTCCACAATCCTGTGATTGAAATCCAGATGCTTGGCAACTGGTTCATACGGTTTGCCATGTCCCAAGGTGACGTGATTCCCTTTTTACGACCTTCCGACAAGCAAAGTCAAAGGGGAAGCCAGATTTACTTAACAACTGGGTTGCTCACTTATCAACTGTGCTGATTTCGCTTGACAATGGTGGCAAGAACGGTGGTAAAACGGGGCAAAAAACCCTCGCTTAACCAATGTCTCACTTAGCAACAGAAAAGTTGGGCTCCGTTGTGGTCGTTAAAGCCAAGGATTACTACTTGTATAGCACACCATCAGGGTGAGGGTTTGCTCCCCAACACCCAGGATTGCTACCTAATCGGAGGACTGAAACGCTTGCGAGCAAAGTCCGTGGAGATTCTCAGCCAACCAGGTCAGAGTTGCGTCAAGGCTGCTCGCAGGCCTTCCCAGTTCAGCCCTGGCCTACCGACCACACCAGAGCTGCTGCTTTCGGATTTGCAAAGAGCCCCGCAGATCGGCGCGCGTCGCTAAGCGTGCAAGCGAGCGGGTTCCCCCGCAGTCCCAGATGGGAGGCGTTGGGGAGAAAGGTTTGCACTCCCCGCTGATCTCTTAAGGGAAACACCGCCCAGCTTTCACTCAACTCACTTTCCCTCTCGCACGCACGCACGCACACACACACGCCACCCTCCTGTGTAGGAATGCGCACCAAGTGCGTTAAACAATCGGGACGCAACTTTTGCAAAATGCTTCTTGGCCTTCGGGGCGCAGCGGGCGAAAGGAACCGCGCGCCTTGCAAAAAAAAAAAAAAAAAAAAACGGGCCTATTTTCAACGCGCGCGCCCTGCAGCCACCCTCCCACCCAACCCAGGGATCCACTCGAGTCCGCGCCCAAAGAGAAAGACCCTGCTTACCGACCCAAGCTGGGCTGCTTGCTTCTGCTCCTTGCACCTCTCCTCGCTCGCTTCTGCCGACCCGTCGGTTGCTGGAAAGACGTCCCGACCGCCCAAACCGCACTTTTTGCTCAGCCCGGGCAGCGGGAAAAGGGCTCGCTCCTCCCTCTCGGCTTGTGTGTGTTGCAACGTGCAAAGTGCAAATCGTTGCTTGCGCTTTCTCAGCCGCTGTCAAGGCAGGGCGGTTTGCAACACGCGTGTTACCCTAAGGGCTTTTTTGCGTCTTCAACGCCCGCCCACAAGGCCCCGCAGCTTAACGCGCTTCCTTAATCAGAAATAGAGCTGGAAGGGACCTTGGGAGGTGTTCTAGTCTGACCCCCTCTGGCTCAAGCAGGAGACCCTATACAATTTGAGACAAGTGACTGTCCAGTCTCCTCTTAAAAAAAACCTTCCAGTGATGAAGCACCCACAACTTCTGAAGGCTCCGGGGAAGCTTTTGGGTCGTGGCTCGGTTTATTATCATTTATGCTGGCTTAAAATATACAGTGTTGTGCAGAGAGCCGCTGTAAGCCTAACAGGAGTGTCTACGGAGATTCTCAGTCCCTCCGGGTCATGGTTGTCCCAAAGGTGCTTTTTCAAGAGGCAACTGCACTTTCCTATTTTTCTTTGAAGACGTTTCGCTTCCCAGCTCTGAAGAAGCTTCTTGGATGTCTGTAGAGATTCACCCTTTGAATAGTGTGGGAGTAGGAATGGATTTCCAGAGGGGGGGAAATTGCAGATTACAGGAACCAGGAGCACCACTCAGGTGACACAGGTAAACCTCCAAATGGCCTCAATGACCATCTAAAAAGGATGCAAATGACCAGCTGTCTACAAAATTCTCCTATTCCCCACTGTCAGAGCTGAAGAAGCTTCTTGGATGAGAAACTAAACGTCCTCAAAAGAAAAAAAACCAGGAAAGTCCAGTTGTCTCCAGAAAAAGCACCTTTGGGACCTAACAGGGAGTGTGGGAACTCTGAGCTCGAAGTCAAGTGAGGTACTAATACCACTCTATAAAGCCTTAGTAAGACCACACCTAGAGTACTGCATCCAGTTTTTTCACCGCATTATAAAAAAGATGTTGAGGCTCTAGAAAAAGTACAGAGAAGAGCAACCAGGATGATTAGGGGATTGGAGACTAAAACACATGAAGAACGGGTACAGGAACTGGCATGGCTAGTCTAGTGAAGAGATGGACCAGGGGAGACATGATAGCAGTCTTCCAATATTTGAGGGGCTGCCACAGGGAGGAAGGGATTAATCTGTTTTGTAAAACACTTATAGGCCAGACAAGGAATAATGGATGGAAACTGGACAAGGAGAGATTTAACCTGGAGATAAGGAGAAACTTTCTGACACAACAAGCAACCACTGGAACAGAAGTTGCCCTTGGAAGTTGTGGAAGCGCCATTACTTGAGACTTTCAAGAAGAGATTGGAGTGCCATTTGTCAGAAATGGTGTAGGGTCTCCCACTTGGGCGGGGGGTTGGACTAGATGACCTATAAGGTCCCTTCCAACTCTGATTATATGTTGTCTGGTTATCTGGCAAACTTGCTGGTTGCGAAAGAGTCTTTTTCAACATTGCAACAGCCATCTGGTATGGTTGTTTATGTGCCTGTGGAGATTCTCAATCATCCTGGTCGTAATTGTCCCAAAGGTGCTTTTATTTTCTTTCCCAAAAGACACCTGGACTTCCTTCTTGTTTTCATTTCAGAAATGTTTTCAAAGAAAAAAAAAAAGCCATGAAAAATCCAGTCGTCTCTTTAAAAAAAGCACCTTGGAGTTGTTTATGCAAGTTAGTGCGTAAGCGCATTAGCCTGCCTATGGTTCCTGTAGCATTTTAGTTTCATTAGTTAGAATTTGAAATTGTTTGACAAATAATCAATAATATGTATCTACCCCAGGTGAGTAGTTCGTTAGAAAACAGCGGAACGATAATGATAATTCCCACACACACTTTTTTTAAAGACCCTGTTTGTTGAGGGAAGAGCTGAGTTGTCAGAGGAGGGAGATCCATATAAAGGAGGGTTTAGACAACATTTCAAACCCAAGTTAATAAAACACAGCCACCATGTTCATTTAACAGGCTAGTGCCTAAATCAGGGGTCTTCAAATTTGACAGCTTTAAGACTTGTGGACTTCAACTCCCAGAATTCCTCCTCTAGTCATGTTAGCTCAGGAATTCTGGGAGTTGAAGCCCACAAGTTTTTAAACTTGCTAAGTTTGAAGACTCTTGTCCTAAATATTAAACTCCTACACTACAGTCTCTCAATGACACTATGATGTAATAGGCCAGATTGATTTCAACAAGGGGCAGAGATTGGTTTGCTTACATATTACTTATCTGACAAGTTGTGTAATAATATTCTTGCTTCAAGCCAGTTTTAAAATTCTTTGATCTCCTCTTGGCTCAGTTTCTTAGGGCAGGCCGTGACATGCGGTGCTTTGAGAAGATATAAAGCATTGTAGTAATCTAATTTTCAAATAATAAAATTAATAAAATGTTACAATCTTTTTTTACTCCCTTCTCAGTATTTCTACTTGAACCACGTTGATGGGTGAAGGTTTACAGGAAGGAAAAATGTCAAGGAAAACTTCTTAAATCAAGTGCTCAAAAGACCCAGTGCCAAATATAAAAGCAAATTTAGAGATTGCTTATCTGGGAGGCTGTGTAGTAATCTGGCTGGATCACAGATGGATCACTTCTATCCCCATTGCTTGATCTTTGGGGATCCCTTGGCTTCATAACTTCAGGAAAAGATCCATTTGGTTTTAAGATGTTCCTGGCAGGTGTAACAACTACTCCCACCTGTGCTTCAAATCACATTTTGCGCTTTGGATCTGTGCTGAACTCTATTCACTGTGTGGTTACGAGGGAAATGCATAAATTCTTGCTAACTTTTTCTTCCCTTACTTGTATGTTTACTTACAAAGGCTTCAATTGTAGTATCTGTGTACTAGTGTATTAGTCATTCATTTAGTGACCAACCATGTTACTAGTTTAATAAGTGCAGTGATTCGCTTAACAACAAGAAAAGGGGCAAAGTTCCCTTAACAAATGTTTCGCTTAACAACAGAAATTTTGGGCTCCCTGTGGTCATAAATTGAAGATTACCTGCAGTCAGAACTTTTTATGCCATAAATTCAAGGCACAAGGCAATTCAAGGAATAGTTACGGGTAGTCCTCAAATTACGACCATCACTGCCATGATTTTTGTTGCTAAGCTAGGCGGATCGTTCCGTCATGCCTGATTTTGCAGCCTTTTTTTTTTAATCAGGTTTTGCGAATCCCTGCTGTTGTTTAAGTAAATCTTACGGTTGTTAAGCCAGCCCAGCTTATCCCATTGACTTTGCTTGTCAGAAGCTGTGCTGGAAAAGTTGCCAATGGCGATCATGTGACCTTGGGATGCTACGATGGTCATAAATGCCAGTTGCCATTTTGATCACATGGTCACGGGGGATGCTGTGATGGCTTTAATTGCAAGGGCGGGTTGTAAATAACATTTTTCAGTGCCTCAATTTCAAATCATTCCTAAATGAATGGTCGTAAGTCAAGGACCACCTATATTCTCAGGAACTTTGAAGGCTGAACAAGAATTAAAAGGCTTCTTTATATATATATATATATGTTTTCTTAAGCTTTCGCGGGTACTTACATGTATGGCATTCAGCTTTGTTCAGGTATTTTCCCACGTCATTGTAGTTGTGCTTTTAAAGTTGTAGCAATGTTTCGGCAGAATATATTATAAGGTTGATCTCCTCGATTAGTTTTCTCATCTTTGGCAACTTGAAAATGGGTGGACTTCAACTCCCAGAATTCCCCAGCCTAGTTTGTGTGCTTGTCCTTCAACACCCTACTTGGACATCTCCCCAAATTAAAATAATGTGAAATGCACCAAAAACACCAGAAGGACATTAGCGGACCTCGCCCGAGCGCGAGACAAACGCTGAAGAAAAAGAAGAAGAAGCACCAAAAGACACCAGGGCATCACAGATGGCTCCAGAGAAGAGCAAGGGAGGCCTGTAGAGTGGGAGGCCTGACTTAACAGCTAGACAAACAAGTCTTTTATTGGGGAAGGTGTGTGTGAAACTGACCAGTAAAAGGAAACTGGCAAATTAGGAACAAAAGCCACTTCAACTTCCTGCAGCATTATTTGGGGGACACTACAACGAGGTTAGGCAGGGCTACTGCATCTGTTGTGGCCCGCCAGTGGCCAGCAGAGCTGGCGGCAGATTCAGACGGTGAGGAGGTTGGGGAGGAACGTGGGCCAGTCCTGGAGTCTGGGGAAGGCTCTGATGATAGGCAGAGATGGGGCCAGGGCCGTCTTGACAGTTATCAGCTGTCTTCGAAGTCAGACCTCAGTGAGGCAGAAGAACAGCTGGAGCCTGTTCCCAGTGTGCACATGTGCAGAGCTGCCAGGAGAAGGGAACAGCTAAGGAACAAGGGTCGACTTGGTAGTAAAGCCACAGGTGGACAGTGAATGGCCCCTCCCATAGGGAATAAAGAGGAGCACAAGGGGATTGGGGTTTGCAGGAGACAATTAGTTCAATTCATTAGGGTGAAGATCTGTTCCTGATTTCTTGCCAAGTATTGTCTGCTACAGAGTGGCATTTGGAAGATATCGGCCTGGCAGCTCCCCAAGCCTGATAAAAGTCTGTAGTTGTGAAATCTCTTTAAAGAATGTTGGTCGGAACTTTGCTGGAGAGGAATTCACTTTAAACTAAATAAAAGAGGTTTTATCGGGGCGAGGAGTCAACTTTATGCCTTTGGGAAGCCTAGGTCAGAACAGCATCTACAGGTAAAGATATCTTTAGACTAGTGCTAAATAGTGGAAAGGACCAGCTATTCTTAGTTGTTGGCTTTCTCCGGGACATCTCTGCTCACACCTAAAAAGGATAAATTGATCTTTCCTGCAAATTCATGACTTCCGAAAAGGAAAACAGAAGCTGGTGTGGCTTTACAACGGGAGAAAAAAATTGCATCTATTAGCTTTCATCTCTTTGATTTTAGAAACTCTCATTTAATTTATAAATTCAATTTAAATAGAAATTCAGTGCGGCTTATAGTGGATGAAACTTCTGGGAGTTTAAAGGCACCAGATTGGGAAGATTTGTTATATTC